TTTTATCATGTTGTTGTTGAGTGTAATCTTTTTCAATTTGTTTAATAAGTTCATCTAATCGAACTATTACACCTTTGACCTAGATAGATAATTAAAAAAAAAACAAAAACAAAATAAATTTCAAAAGAAAAAAATCTTTTACTTTCGCAAATGGTCGTGACCATAGTTCATTAGCTGTTTTATCAAAACAATAAACATAGATTGAAGTGATCTGTTGTAAATTAGCTATTTGAGGTACAATAATTCGACCAAATCTTCCACTAACAATTAAAATAATTCGATCATCTTCAGAACGATTTTTAATATAATGAAGACATTGTTGATCATCTTCAAATGTTAATAAATGATTGATTATTGCTTGTAATTGTTGTTGAACTTTAAAATTTTCTCTTGAAGTATTCACAGAGGCATCAAGCCAAATTAAACAATATGTTTCAAGATTTTCATCATTTTCTATTGTTTTCGGTAAGACTGCAGCCATTACAATAATTGTTTGAAAATGCGTTCACTTTTTTTTTTCTTTCTTGATTTCTTACAAAGAAATTCCGTGCAAAATAAAAACTCAAGGTGAGAGTGTCCGTTCTTTCAAGTAATGTTTGAAACAACATTTTTTTTTTCTTGCACGACTATTACTTTTGTAAAACAGAATGAGAAGAAAAAAAAATTCTGTCTATTTAATTTATGTCTGTTGAAGAAAGAACGAAAGAAGAAATTTTTTGGACAATATTTGTTGTAATGTCGTGTTGATGAGAAAAAAAAAATTTAAAAAAATCTTGATAACAGATTTTAAAAAATCAACGACAATTTCCATCAAAGATTTATTTTAAATGTTTTTAAATTAAAACAAGATTTGTTTTTCTTATTTCAGATTACTTTTTGTGAAATGAATAATATATATAGTAGCAAAATTCTAAAATACTTATTTCTTTCCTCTGTACATAGAAGTGCCGAGTTATCAATAGCAAGTTTACACATAGTTCTTTTGATTTTTGAGAAGCAGTAATACGATATATAACCAATAAAAAGAAAATAAACTGTCAACTTTTATGGAACTTATATCATACTTGTCGAAGAAAAATATACAGTTTGTAAGTTCAATGTGAAATCTTTGTGGGTTTCTTCTTAAAAGCAACGAAAGAAGAAGATTCAATGATCATTTGGTACGTTTCTATATTAGTCGAGAACAACAGGCGTCAGACTCCTTTCTCAGAATTTCTGAGCAACGGAAGAACGGCGCTGACAGACATTAACAACAAGACTTAGACTATTCTAGGACATTTTCAAAGCCTTACTTGCAATTCGAGCGACAAAAATACGTTTGTCAATGTTTTAAATAGTGCAGTTTTTGATTTTTTTGGCAGATAAAAATTTATCTTCAAGATGTCAAGGATGGTGAATAGTAACGCATGGATTTGCCACAGTTGTCATATGATCAACACAAGAGAAGTGGGAATTGACCAAGTTATAGTTTTGGAAAAATGATCAATATTAGTGTTTATGAGTTGATCGGGATATATAATAGTACATTCAAGTCAGAAATACCAATGGGCCGAAAGAATGTGGACCAGTCCAAATTTTTTTTTCTGGAAAAATGGAGCAAACACGGATCATTCATTGAATTGCAGTCAATAAATTTTAAAACACGAATGACCAAACATATGTCGAGTATCAATAGTTGATATATACATCAATGTTGGACAACATATTTGACAACTTAAAGAGCCTCCAATTCTCTTGAGCTCACTGGTATTTTCTGTTTTTTTTGGTTGGAAAATCAAACACTTTCCGACATAAAAATGTATGTGCTTTTTCTCATTTTTAATAGCAGCATATGTCGATAGTTGTTGTTTGAAAAGAAATTTGATCCATTCAGATATATAGTGTTTTGTGTAGGATGAAGAATTGGCACCGATAGTCAAAGAAGCAGTGTGAACAAAAACTGATATTTTAAAAGATTCTATAGAAATAGAATTAGAATGAGAAAAAAAGTAATTGATGATGATGCTATATATTGTGAGAGTTGTCGAATATTGAAATAAAAATTTGATAGAGAACTGTTGTTTTAGTTATTTCAATCATAAAACAGAATTAATCTTATTTTGTCAAGCAACTTTTAATTATTGTAAGAATAGAACTATTTGTTGATATTCTTTTCTTCTAAATATTCACCAAAACACAGAATAACAAAAACAAAAGAGTCTAGCAATATCAGATAACTAAATGAAATAAAAAAAAGATAGAACATTGGTATTAATAATATCAAGTTTTCTTTTGCTCTATTAATTCAGTAGGACATATATATGAAGATTGAATTTGATCTGTTCATCAATTAATCTTAATTCTTGATATTGTAAAAGAGAAGATAACATCGGTCGCATGATTCAAACGTATAAATACCTGCTCAAACCGTTTTATTTTTTTTGTTATTTAACCAAGATCATATCTAATATCAATCAAGAAATCTATTTCTATTTCATATGAAAGTATATACTACTGAACATGGCAAAAGGTTGGTAAGAATTTTTTGTATTACATGTAATTCTGTCCAAGAATGTGATAAAATGTTGATCCTTTTTTTTTCAGAACATCCGCCATGTGATATTCTACTGAGATCATAAGATCGAATCTTTATAACTTTTTTCGAAATTTTAATAGACTGCTAATATAGAAAAGTGTATCGCTGTGTTATTTCCTACAAGGAAAATTAAGAGGAAATCGAAAATTGTTGAATTTTTCTTGTTGATAATTATTGTTTATTCATGTTGCGTATGATATTTGAAAACAGTCCGAGACCTAGTGTGGTCTTAAACGCATGAAAATGATTTCTTATCTTTATCTCAAATACAAGTGAAAAATAACGTCTGTATCAATTAGTCTAGATGCTATATCCTGAAATAAAACATTTTTTTGCTGTGTTACCCTCCATACATCATCTGAAAGTACTAAGCTCGATGCATACATTGCCACATCCTCTGCTGTCAGATAAAGCTGCTTCGACTGTTGACAGATACACTAAAAAAAAAGAGTTATGTTTTATAAAATATTACACTGAAAACTTGACTCCGACTGAATATGATGAAAACTTGTTGAGAATAACTCACTTCTGATCTCATAGACAATATTGGTGGAATGATGAAAATTTTTGTGTTTTACAATGCCTGTTAACAGTTCATTTTATCTAGTACTGAATTAACTAAAACTGATTCTAGTTGTTAGTCCCAAAATTGATTTTTCTGATCTTTTCTTTGCGAAAACTAACACAATGATAGACTTGTTCAATCTTAGCAGTTTATTAAAATTTTGAAAAGTAGCTATAAAGATTTAACCTGGTCATTCGAGTAGACCATTCGATAGTGCATCTTTTGAAAAATAGATCAACGTTTTACCATGTTCATGAACACAGTTACATAAAAAACGAAGATTATCGCAGAAGTTTTGCCACACTCAATATTTAGTAGTATTTTATTAAGTTGTGTTTCAGAGTAATGAGATATAAATTAAGTTTAGAAACAAAAAAAAAAGGACAGTAATTTAATTTAAATCCTCAAATGTAAATCAGCGCATTTTGTTTCTATTCACATATTGATTGATTAAAACAAAAATGAATATCATCTGTCATATATCTCATGTATTATCGATTGAATAATCATGTAACAGATGTTATTTTTTTCTGTATACACACCCGTATCTTACATTAACTTTAGTATATAAAATCATCTAGTTTTTATTGCAGATAAAAATTTCCATCGCTTTGAGTCGAAGTTTCAAAACTATTATTATGTTTCGTGTTTTGATCATTGCTTCTATTATTATCAGCATAGGTCAGTTTTGCTTTCAAAATTAAAAGAAAAAATAATGTATTAATATAATCTCGATCATATTTTTAGTACATGGTCAAGAACATTTTCCACCTGTTCCATATAGTGAAGCATGTGTAACACAAGGATTTCATGCTGGTCATCAGGCAATTGATATTGGATCTTATGGTGCTAAACGTATTAATTTATATACTATTTGGGATGGAACAGTGATTGGTGTTTGTAATGGTGCTGGTGATTTTGATCAAAGTAAATGTGGACAATGTGGTAATTATGTTGAAATTCAACATAATACTGTTAAAGTTCTTTATTGCCATATGACATCGGGTTCAATTACTGTGTCGGTTGGACAGCGTGTTGCACGTGCACAAAAAATTGGTTTAATGGGTACATCAGGTTATTCAACTGGTGTTCATTTACATATACAAGTGAGAGAAATAAGTAATGGTCAATTACGAGATATTCGTACTCGTCTTGGACTCAATGGATGGAGAACTTGTTAAAAATTTGTACTTAGCAAATGCTTTAACTTATTTATTTGCATAATAATAATACACATTATAATGCAAATAAAGTTTCTTTGTAGAATTCAAAAAAAATCTTGTCTTTATGCATCTTATTGACTGAAACTTCACATTAAGTGTGATATTCTTGTTAAGAAAAATAAGATTATCTAAACAGACCTTCCTAACACGGTTGTCAGAGTAAGACTAGTGTTCATGAGACGTTGATAATAACAAAAAGAAAAATTTTAATTACATAACATTGTTTGATTGGTAATGTTGCTTTGGCCATAGAACGAATAATAGTTTTCACATTGTAACGGCGTTGTCAGTCTTTCAACTGAACTTCTTTGAATGCATCCATAACTATGTATCTGATGGTAGTGTGTCCTCATTGGCAACGATAATGAATCTTCATTATGTATAAGCGAACAAATTTGCTAATTAATCATCTAATAATGACATATCATTGAAAAAGTACATTTGTACATATTCTGCTATTCTACTACATGTATAACCGATATATTATTTGCGATGCTTAATGCTTGCTTCATATATTCGTTGTACATTTGTGTAAATATATTAAGATCGAAATTTTGTTTAAGGTATTTACCAAATGAATTCACAAACTTTTCAAGACAATACATAGGTGACTTATTTATACATAGACTAAACGATTCTAAGATAATTCAATAGCTTTAACTAATTGAGATATCATAAATCCTACGATTATTGATCAACTTCATATAAACCAAATATTACTGATTCATGAAAATAACTCCTTATCTTTTTACTTTATTCAGTTAGACTTAAGTAGTAGTTGACCACAATCCTAGCAAGTCAGCGTCATAACAAAAACTGTCCAATACCGATCAATTTCTCATAACTACGTTCACAATTGCATATAATACGTTATGGAAGGCCATAAAAATTATAGATTTTACTTACAAGCACTATTGTATTCAGGCTACTCATGATTACCTACATTGAGTTTCACGCCCAATAGGCAATCAGATCTTGAACTGTTATGATATGAGTAATTAACGCAAGAAAGAATCCAAAAACTGATTTACGTTTTCACCCTAGAAGAAGATGTCTATAAGATTCATATAAACTTCGAAATACTTCTTCTTGAGAATAACCATTTAGTCTATTGTGCAGCATGAAAATGGCTTACGCGTAATTTCTTATACTGAATTGATAGCAAATATCTCTAATTGTAGATCATACCAAACTTTACATGTTTTTTTGTAGATATTCACGACTTATGGTCGGATCAGGCAGTAGAAAGATATACGTAGATTAAAAACATTTCATACAAGTAATTATTCTTCCGAGATATAAAAATGTGACAAATGAAACTAAGTCGAAAAGTTACATGTTACTAAATGTAGTAAATTCCAGATTACACCGTTTTATTTTTGTATATTTGAACGACAAAATTGATGAGTGTTCTATCAAATTTGTTTTATATTCAAACTACATCATGCAATTGATCTTTCTAAAGCTAGCCAGCGACAAACAAACAGTATATCAAGATTGGAGACTCACCAACAAACAGCATACAAATATAGTATTTTGTTTCTATGCATTTTCTTTCCTCAGTTAAGGTTCTACTATTTTACTAGCGTTACTTGGATATCAACTTCTTGACACTTTATTCTATCTGTTGAAATATTAATTAAGGAATACAATGCTGAAAATGTGATTTTCATAGGAGAAACAAAAGTAAAAGATTGATATTCATGTGTAATATGTGTTACTCCAGTATCGATTCTCACTTTTTTGATTGTTTTAGCTAGTTTAACGGTGGTGCACAGTAGAAATCCCTTGACAATCAATATCATTTAGATCTTAGCCACAAACGCAGGTGATTTTAATGTGTCTATTTGAAACATCCTTATTAGAGCGTCTGATTTAGAAATATACCTTATATGTTAAAAAAAAATCGATTTTTCTCGAAATCACACATCAAAGTTTTTGTGAAGCGCACAAAACCAAAGGTGTTCATATTAGATTTCTGATTATCTAATGATGTAAGGTAACATACACAAAGAGTACTTCAACGTCGTCTTCTTTTAGATTCGACTGTCCATGAAAGTGTTGCTCAATGGAAGACATAGGTTGGATGTGAATATCATGTCCTTACCATTTCTCTCAATATTCAACATTGACTAGTTATTAGGTATATAGAAGAAGGAAAAATGGATAAAGAAGAATATCTTAACTTTTCTGTTGTCATATAGTATGGGGTACTGCCTAGTGGTGAATTATATCTTTTCTACGACTAATACTAGCTGTAGCTCTAGACAGAAGATTGGCCTCATGCAGAGTTCCTGCACTGAATTGATTGAGCTCCCATACATCCTAAGTAACCACATACTAGCCATGAGAGTAAGTGTATCTCATAATACAGTCAGCATGCTATTAAATGGATGATTCGAGGCAACTAGTCGTTAGCAAGTTGTCCAAAGTCATTTCATTGCTCGTGGTACTGATACGAAATTTATACTGTAAGTACTATAATTAACTTCGACTTTTGGAATATATAGTGATATACAGTTTCAAAAATGAACCAACACACACTTTCTCGTTCATCTTTCGGTTTGTTAAACGTAGTGAAAGAAACCGCTCATCTATGAAAGTTGGTCTAATATCATCTACTCGAAAGTTTACATATCGTTATCTCTTCGTTTCTTTATTTTATCAAGAATTTCTAATTATGTATAATGAGATAATTTTAATCTGCTTGACACGATTCGAACATTTTTTTGTCAACTTATCAATATCATTTCTCTCCTCTATTTTTTGACACTCTTTGACTTGTTCTGTATGATGAAATATTATTTTCTTGTTGCATGAAAGCTGAAATTCATATTTGCAAATTACGAATGTTCAAAAAATAACTAGTATTCAATTGATAAGTGTCATTTGAAATTGATCATCATCAAAAAATTCCATTCAAAATATTTTTCACTTCGTATTATTTAAAATCACCGAGCATACCTTTCATGAAGTTCTTGATTTGAAAATATTCTCACAGAAAAAAAAGTATAAATTTCACGTTCAAATATATTTAAATGTGCCAAAATTTATTTGAGAGCTCGAACAATAGAATTACTCGTACTCATATACAATTAGAATTGAGTTAAAAACAATCCAATTCAATGTTCTATAGCTGTGGGTTCAATGAAATATTCAATAATTTTGTTGATTAAGAAATGTCGTTCAGCATCGATAAAAAAACGAAATACTTATGAAAAAATTTCTTAATCGAATCAAACACATTAAATTTCTCATGTTATACATGCCGATTATGCTAGATATTTTCGGAAATATCTTCAAATGACTAAATTTAGTTTTGAAGTAATATTATCTATTTTCAGCTTCTACCTGAAAAAAGCTATTGACATTTGCAACTGGTATTGTGATGCATGTTATTTATTAATAATTATGTTGCATCCGAATCATTATAAATTTATCTCATAGAAATTGAAAATATAAAACGATCGTCTTGAAGCATCTTATTTATATAATTATCTTTACGATGGGATAACTTTTCACAATTTATTTCTTAGTTAATTAAATAATAAAAAGATAGTGAAAATATAGAAAAGAACATTAAAACGTCTAGAAATAAAATGTTTTGAAGTCTTTATTATTGTCGTCGTCGTCGTCATATGAATATCCTCTTAATACGTCTCTGTAAGTATCGCTCGCTCTTGGAAGACTCTTACTTATATGTTTTTTTTTTCCAAAATAATAGACAGAACCGCCAATAGCGCCAGCCACAGCTGGAATACCGAGTCCTAATGAAAGGCCAAGTATTAGAGCGAGATTAGGACCAGCTGAAAAAGGAAAAAAAAGTTAAAAGATTATTAAAGATGAAAAAGAAAATTTTACACGAAGGGCTAGGAGTTATTGGCCTTGGCGTTGTTGTTAACGAGTTTAAAAATTGTTCGACAGCTTTAGAAAAAACAATAAATAGCATAATTATATGTTATATTAATTATGAAAAATACTAGTGAGCAGCATTAAGAAACCGTTTATAATATTAGATAAATTCAATTTCTTTTTTGATGCTTTGTCTAAGAAATTTTTTACTTACTTGCACAATCACCATCATGTAAGTCAATATCATCAAGTGCAAAATAAATTGGGCTATATGATTTATTGTTTGTCTCATTACCACTATCAATGCGGAAATTAAACGAGAGCTATAAAAATAAAACGATAAACATTCCTTTTCAATCTTTTGAGAAACAATTTACTTTGTAAGTATTGTTTGTCCAATCAAAATCGACTCTACGCCGCTGCCAACCATTAGCGCTCATATTCTGGTGCGGCACTGTATCAATCCTTTTTTCTTCTGCTCCTCTACTATTTTCAATATATACTTGTATTTCTCGGTATAGAGTATCATCATCGTAAGTCATATAATAATAATAACGAAGGCATTGTTTCGATATTCCGTTATCACTTTGAGTTCTAGGCTTAGCATCCGCGGTTACTTTCTTGCTTGTATTACCTCCCAGTTCAAAATGAATAAGAGCGTAGTTACCTATAGATCGAGACTAAAGTTGAAACTCTCGTTAAAGCTAAAGATACAAACTTTTGCTCATGGTATGTCTCTCCTCAAATTAGCTTAATGTTTGATTAAAGATTGTGTGATGATAATTCATTTTATTTTACTATTGCTCAATAGTTATTGAAATTATGTAGTTTTAATTGTAAGACTGCACAATAATGTCTTGTCAACTCAACAAATATTAAGAAACCGTAATGTGCACGTATCAGTTCTATCTAAAGTTGATATATAAAGGGCTCTTGAGTTATCTTTCATATCTACATTTTTCAATATCATAAGTTAGAAGTTCTTTACAGACACCAAATGAATTCACAAATATTCTTTTCTTCAAACAAATTCTCAATACAGTACTGTAGAATTTGTTAGCTGTTTGCAAACATTAGTTGTTTCTCTCAAAATACAACAATTCAAAAGAAATTTTTTATTTTAGCATTTAAAATTTGATTTTGAAGTAGATTAGGTCATTTGAACTACACAATAGATCTAGCTTTAAATGCATACACTTGAACGGAAGATGATCAAGCATCAGTCAAGTTCGAAACAATGCTAACATATCTAGAAACTTTCTCAGTCTGATCTGAATTAATTTTTATCGTACATGATACGCAACTTTTCCTATAGAATAAATTTAGAATCGAACGTATATTTAAGGAAAGTGAACAATTCAGTTTATGAACTGATTTAATTTTGAAATAGAAAATCTAACCTGACTGACAGTCTATCAGTTGACTACTGTTTGATGCGCATTTGCCTTGATAGCAAAAGTGCATGTCCCAAGTGAAACTTGTATTCGTAATGATTGAGAGGTTATACGGCATACTACATGGTTCTTTATTGCTGGCGGCTATTGATAATTATAAATTGTTTAAATGAGAAATTTTCAACATAATATAAGTAAAACTTACTGTTCGATATTACGCCTGAGAGAGGCATTCTAGGCGGCACACTAGTATTGAATGCAGTACCTTCTATATAATTACGTCCATCAGTGACTTCAACAGATTCATTTCCCACGGAAAAACAGGCATCATTAGTAAAATCACAAAGTAGCAGAGGAGTCGGAGGTCGAATGGTAACAGTTATCGTAATAGTTGCATTCATTGTGGTACCAGTTATATCCCATGTAACACTAGTTGCACTTGATGAGGCAGTTGAATCTGTTATGATGTCGGGTGTACTCATGATAGTACTAATTGTACCAGTTGCAATGCTGCTGTAATACGAGGCGGTGTCACCTATATCGGTCGTAATGCTACTCATATTCGTTGTGGCAATATTTTGATCGCTTGTAGTGATACTGGTATCGGTTGTAATGCCACTTATACCCGTCGTGGTGATACTTTTGTCGATTGTAGTAGCACTTGTATCGATTGCATCGCTACTTGTATCGGTCGTGATACTACTTGTATCGGTCGTGATACTAC